TTTACGTGAACCCCACCGTTGGAGAGCGAAATCCTTCGCAAGTGCGCGAACACAACATAGCCACACACAAACCCACAAACAGACAATTTTTGACTTTTATATAGATAGAAGATAGATGACAGGCCTGCTTTAAAAGCAATTCAACTGGTCTTGGCTACAGCACTGTGCTGACAAGGGTCCACCCGACTTGGAGCTGATTATGGAAGTGACAACTGAAAGTGTGACCTTGTGAGCCTTTGGAATTGACTCGTTTACCCAAGAATCCTGCCAGTGCACTGTTGTGGTTTTGTGAGGCTCAGGAATTCGCGTTGAACTTCTTTTTGTTAATCCTAAACGTGCCCCGTTTTTACTGCATGAGGCATCTTCCCTTTGGAACCCTAAGAATCGTAAAAGAAACCACGTGACCTTCAGTGTGCACCTGCTGTGTGCACGTGTGCGTACAGTTTTGCAATGGACAGTCGTGTCATGGTCGAATACTGTTGTTGTGATATTTCCGGGAACAGATGGGGCAGCAATGTAAAAAAAAACATTCGTCCAGAGCATATTTTACAATTATCTTTAGAAGGGGATTTCAAGGGATACTTTGGCAAAAGCAAATGATAGTAAGCTTTTAGATATTGTCATATGTGTATGATGTGTATACTGTTGTATGATTTCTCGTGATTAGTTGAAGTGATTTGTGTAGGCCTGTATATTTAGACCGTAGCAGACATAGGAATAAATTTGGAGTTAGATATAAACTCGAAATCTTTGGAGGCTCCTTTAAATATAATATTTGTCTTCCCATATGTGAAATTCAAGATTGTTAAAATTTACTTTAGAAACTCACAATTTACAAGCATGTCCAATGATTATGGTTCTAAAATGATTTTAATATCATTAAGGCATGTTATCTTATTTAGTGTTGGTTATATTGTAGTCTTTGTCAAACGAATACATCTTCGAGTATGGTTTGAAAGTGGTTGTATCCTATTTAGATTTTTATCTGCATATTGTAGTTTTTATAATGTCAGACAAATGCCATTTTAGCACACGAGTGTAAAAGTGTTGACGGTCACCGATGCACAGATAATTATCTTGATGGCACAATTGTTTTAAAATGTGGAGTTTTATTTCAAACACAAATCTCATGGCTTTAAGTTTCTCAAATTGAAATGCTTACAAAGCTGGAGCTGCAGTTACTTGGATTTGAGCAAGCCTTTTAAATCGGTTTAGGGAAGTTTAAAAATAGCATTGAACAATGGATAATTTCCATCACATCATTTCACTTCCGGAGGCAAGCAATAGCAGTTTCGTTTTTTGTTGTTGCAGTCATTGTGTCAATTACTGTGATTACGTTCCATTTTCTGAGCTAACCCAATCCACCTTGGAAAAGTGGCGCTAAATAGTTGACATACTCTTTATCAACTCCCGGGTCACTGAGCAAACCATCGTGCAAAAACCCACCGGGCACATTAAAGCTGCAGACTAAAAAAGCTAATTCAATGCAAAGTCAGATAATACAAATACACTTATTCACCAAGTCTATTATCCTTAAGATCATTTCAGGCTTGACGTTTTCGTGACTGCAAGGCTCCATACTCTTTGGTTTTTTCGGTAAAGTCACGTAGGTAAAAAATAAATAAAAATAAATTAAATCACGATGTTTCAGGAGCCCCACTTGATGCAGTAATTTTGCTGTGACGTGCCGAAACGTCGTGATTGAATTACTTTTATTTTTTACCTACGTGACTTTACCGAGTATCATTTCAGGCGTCCCTGACGCATAGTGGGCCACGGTTGTGGGGGAAAGGGAGGAGACTGTCACGTGACCACTCAGACCCAAGGGGGCCACCCTTGGCGGAATATTTACTTAGTTTGTCATCTGAGGCACAACCAAGGAAAAATAAATAGCTGCTATCTGCTTGATATGTACCTCGTTTTGTATCCCGAACTGTCTGACACTAGCAATACGAGGAAATACTGTATCATCACAATAAGGCATGCTGTCGTGATTTCTCTAAAACAAGATACAGTATATATTTTTTATTTTACTATCTAAGGCCCACTGAGCTCTATAAGCTATTTTTCAGAAGTGACCTGGCCACAAATGATAGCTCAACGAAGTGGCTCATGTGGAAATGTATTGTGGCCAAATACTCTAAATACATGTTTCAAAATGTGGGGGGGGGGGGGGGGAACCGGAGGAATCGGATAAAAATTCACGTGACCACAGGGAGAATATGCGAACTCCTGACGCATAGGTTGGGATCGAACCCACGACCTCATGCATACCAGGCAAGGTATTTAATGTTTCGCCACCATCTCAGTACTGTCATTCCCGTAGATTTGAATACAATGTCACTGATTTGGTGTTGCTAGAGCCCACCCCGATCGGGACATCAAATGCATATTTAACGCTTTTCGACATATATTCTTTGGTTCTTTCGTTAAAGTCACTTAGAAAAAAAGTGAATAAAAATAATAACATTTAATAAAACAACAAAACCACTAATGTAGACGGTAGCCTGGTTATTAAGTTTGGTGAGTGTACTGGCAGTCTATGATGGAGACTTATTCTTGGTTCTTTCAGTAATTTAAATATAATAAAAATATATCAATTAAAAACAAAAAAACCACGACATTTCGATCGCAACAGAAGCGGTCGTCATCAGGATAAAAAACAACACAGCTTGAAATCGCTAATGCATTTGCTCGTTCTCTCCGTTCGTCTGTCTCTCTGTCCTCGGGTGCATCCACACCGGATTGAGTAGTTGCACAGCCAGATCGCTCTTGACATCACGCAACTTAATCACCGCCTGCTTGCATGTGGACACTTCTACAGTACACTCTCGATTATCTGCGTGCTGCTTATCAGATTTGTGGATTAACCGCGCGCCTCAGATTTGGATAAATTAGCCATTCATGGATTTTCTATTAAGCCCCAATTAATAATCTAAAAACAGTTATGCATTGTTATTCCTGGAAATGTTTATTACAAGTGACATGCTTAAACCAAACAAATATGTGCTCCGGTTAATCCGAAATCCATGTGATCGCCCCTACAGTACAGTAGTTGCATATATTTACAATAGTGGGTGGAGTCTGGTTGATTTTGATTCACGTGGCTCTGCTGTCCACTTGGTGGGCGGACTGTTCTGCGTGGGAGCGGGAAAGTGTTTGCACTGAGCAAATGCATCGATCGGTTAATTCATTACTACAAATTTTAGTTTTCCTAATTAACAAACTCAATTTTCTTAACTTCAACATAATGCATACCTATAGTAGTGACTTTTGGCATAGAGATCCGCAGAAAATTTTTATTTTTGGATTATCCGCTATTTTGAATTATCCGCGGTCGTCCTCCCCGCCGTTAGCACGGATAATCGAGAGTCTACTGTATTTGCAGAGACGTCCACACACAAGCGATTTAGCTGCATGCAACCAAGGTTGTGCAACACATCACTCAGGTGTAGACGCGCCATTAGACGGGTTGGGGTGGAGGGGGGCAGTCACGGTTAGGCGCGTAGATATGATCGTACGTAAGCAAGAGTTTTAATAAATATATATAAAGTTGTGTTGTTATTAAGGACTTACCCCAATCTAGCAAAGGGGTTGGCAAAAAATGTTTATGTGACTCGCTCGTCGTTGTTAATTACATGTCTCTTCTAAGTTGTAAAACGTCGCACCCCTTAGCTGATGATGCCACACGTCCCGAGGCGTTGCACATCACCTCAACCGGGTTTGTTTAAAGTGAATTGATTATAAACAACAGTGACGTAATCTCATTAGGTGTGCCCGTAATCCCGTGCTTAATTAACTCGTGATTTTTTTATATCCATGCTATTGAGGTCCTGCACCTCCGATTGGCACGGTTGGTTACGTACGGTGCGAAAAAAGTTTACCGTGTACATACAATCGCCCCTGGGACCCGACCTGCCTTGCCTTCACTCACTGCCCGGTCCCTGCACCTCCGTAGGCGAGAGAATCCTTGATAGAGAAAGTGATGGTCTCATGTCACTCATCTTTATCATTGGGCATGCTCTATCCCCTGATGGATGAAGACCAAAATGACATCTCTGATTTGTGCATGTTGCCTGATCCAGGAGTTCCTCTGTCTGCATCTCAGTTTAATACAAAGCATGCATCTCGCCACGCTATTTTTTTCTGTATCATGCTCCATCCGCTGCTGCACAAAGATTAAAATAATGTATTTCACTTGTGTGTGTTCTCTAATTCATGGATTTCTCTTTCTGCATGTTTTTGTTATCTTCATCACGAAGATCAAAATGCCGTCTGTCTTGCATACGTTCTTCCGTCCACTTGTTCCTCCCTGCCCTCAAATGCAATACTAATCACCTCTCCATGCTTGTTTTGAACCCTTTCCATTTTTTGTCACACTTTCATTTTTCTTCACTCGTGTCTGTGTTTCTGATCCATATATCATAGCAGGTCATATGCATTCATTAAATTAATGCTTCCAGACAGAGGTCCATTCCCATTTTCTTTCTCGTACAATACAATTTGATGTTCACCTGCTTCTTGTCTTAACAAGGCTGTGTCGTATTTTCTGGCAATGATACATGCATGGAGCAGAGCGAAATGATTACATTTCTTAAAGCTAATAAATGTGTATTACTGGTTGACATTCACCATCGCAGCATTGTTTTCTTAACGTTGAATCCTGGATTATATTGAGTAATGCGATATACTAGGTAAACTAAATAGACGGTGGAAAAAAACATCCTGAAATTATAATCCTCGCACCGGTGGCCAGCAACTTACATGACTGAAGTAAACACGGAGAGAGTTGGTGAACCCATTTGTCATGGTTGATGCATCGCACAGTGTGAGTTGACTGACATTGTTGAAATTCAGCAGCATTGTTGTTGCAGGTTGTGTGCTCGGTAAGATTCTAACCATGTTATGCCCGTTTCCAAAAAGAAACCGAGAAAGTCAAACTGCCTTGAGCTTCCAGTACCGCAAATCTGACAAAAGGCCTTCCTCTGTCATTGTCACAGGTGATGAATCGTGGGTTCGTTATTTTGAACCTGAGACAAAGCGTCAATGGAGTGGCGTCTTAAAGGATCTCCAGCCAAGAAGGGACTCGAGGCACAACCTTCTGCTGAAAAAGTCATGGTAACTGTCCCAAAGGGTGTGTCAAAATCTGAATATTTATTTCGACTGGGTGAATCCGATGAGCTCTGGAGCTCTTTTTCACAGATGGCCAGTGTGGGCGGGTTATCAATTTGTTGACTCGCTACCAAAGGGCATAACCATCTTCTCAGAGTATTTATATAGAGACGTATAAGCGGTTGAAGAGAATAACTTGCTCCAAACCAACAAAGTAGATATAATTTTCTGTGACAAGGCCAGATATCATGCGAGCCTGAAACAAGTACAGGCCTTGCATATGCAGCCTTTATCTGGCGAGTTTGATCCTGTCATGGATGTCCTTCATGGACTAAATGTTTATTATGATCATGTGTAACAAAAGGATGCGCTTTTCGAATGTTTGAATGATGCCCATTAATATGTTTGACTGTTTCTGTATACAACGTATTTTTTATGTGGGTAAAAGTGTACACAAAAGGATGTGACTGGAAAAAATGATGATCCCACATTTCATGAAACAAAATGAATGTCTGTACACAAAATAACATAAAAAAATTCTAGGAAAAATCTATTTGGGGCATTTCAGGTTAGCCCTTGTTATGCCTAAACATTGTTGTGGTTGCTTAGGGTTGTGTTAAGATTGAAATATAGTTATACATTGAGTACCGAACAGCTTTATAAGAAAAACAATGATGTTACTCATTGTTGTATTTCTAACCATTAAAACATGTTGATGGTTTAAACATGCTTTCTTGCCGGTGCATGTTAGGTGCTTGCTTGTCAGTATCGTTTAAAACAAACACTTCCAGCACCATTGGATACTTTTTTTAAACGCAACAGCAAAGTTTAACACAACAAGCAACCAGACTGTAAAAGCGAACCAAAAGCAAGTACATGCTTTGGCTCGTGTTAAAACTATGTGACGTCTGATTCCTAAATTAGCTTCCAAAATGCAAGTCAAGTTACACTCCCACCACATCTGGCCCAAAGCCACCGACGAGCCTTCGAAGTATTGGAATTTCCTTCACAAGCTGCACTTCGCCCTAAAACACTGCCACAAAGTCAATTCCAGGGACTTGGTAAGAAAATAAATCAAACTATATATGTTTCAAAAATAGTTATTGCAATACAACCTCGAGGCACAGAAGTAAGGAGCAAATTATGCTGGACAGTGTTGTGCCATTACAGCGATGAAAGTCTCTTATGCGAGCTCAATGTCTCTCAATGACAGAACGCCTCATTGTGCTATTTAAATTGGTGTTCATAGCTTGAAGGGGCAAAACGGAATAGTTTTTCAGAGATACGTGAACAAAAAATATGAAAACAGACCTGCGTTTTCGAAAATGGAGAGAAAAAAAATACGATTTTAGATACAAATATTAAGGTATACCAATAACCATCTCGGATACTAGGCAGGGAGCGATGAAGCCCCCCTCCCTTCAAATATGACTTTGCCACACTGGATCAGTGCAGGTTGGTGAAGCAGTAGCCCCAGGACTGGCCCAGTTACTACTCACCACTCATGTTAGCGCTGGCCAGAAATCAAGCTCAGGACCACCAGGTTCGTTGAACTATTAACAATTAAAATTAATAGTGGTGTATATGTTTAGTCTTGATATGCATATAGTGGTCAGTGGGACAGAGGATATCACATATGATTTTACATGTTTTGTATTCGTGTCAACCGAAGCGAGGAGGGATGTCATCAGCGAGTCAGTTTATCTCGGGTTAGAGCCCATTGAGCTCAGGAGCTTTGTCAATGGCGGCCCAGCATAATAACATCCTTTGTTTATCATAACATCCTGTGTTTTATAAATCCAGTGTGCATTTTTTTTACAAACTAGCAGTGTTTTTCTTTTTTACCAGTTATAGCAATATTGTGGAAGCAAAAAGAAACATGGAATCTTAAGTTCATTTGCTGTCCGGTTGGGTGACACTGTAGCTGGAGCACTTAACTCAAATCAGGTTGCAAGTTCAAATCCCAGTCAAAAGTTTTGATTGTGCCAATTCATTTTGTAGTAGGGTCAATAAGGAGAGTGCCGCTTTGTGGATTTGTCAAGTGTGGTTGTCCTTTAGAGAGATATTGGCCACTGCCTTTTGTATTTATACACTGGATCCTCTTGCTCAGAATCACCGACGTGGCTGGGTGACTCGAAGATTCGAGTGATGGGCTGACAACACTGAGAGGCCCTGGGTTTGAATTCAGACAGTCGCTGCTGATTCTAACCGGTTTCTCAAGTGTGGTGATTGCAGCCTGCTCACCAATGACTGCGTAAAACAAATCTTGACATTAAATTTGGTTCTGTATTTAATGTGGCTAAATTCAAGCTCCGATCATTAAAAGTATTGCTTTTTGAATGTCATGCAGCAAACGTTACTCTCATCTGGCAAGGCAAGAGGGTAAAGTGATGCCACTACTGTGTGGACCAGCGGTCACTTGAAGGGATCTCTGAGGTCTCTGTGATATCCACTTTCGTGGGCCGTTCTCTAATGCAGAGGGGGTTTCTCTGCTTTGCAATAGTTCTAAATAGACTCTTCGACTCGTGATTCTGATAGCAGACTGAATAAAACTAGCAGGAACTTCAGAAACGTATGCTTTAAAAGGATGGTGAATATGTACAGAGACTGATTATTTCATGCGGAAAATTTAATTTTTTATATATGCCGAACAGAAATTACAATTATTCACGATTGAATGTCAATTAAAAAACATTTTACCGATAAAAGTATATTTTCGGTAAAGTCACGTAGAAAATAAAAATGTATTTATATTTTCTTTATTTTATTTTATTTCAATTTCTTTTTTACCTACGTGACTTTACCGAAAAAACCCAAAGAGTATGGACCCTTGCAGTCACGAAAACTTCAAATCTAGAAAGAATAAAACAATCTACCCAATTGTTTGCAGTGAACACTGGAAAAGAGCCTTAGAGAGACACACACGAACAAGACTCGTACAGTAGGATGAAACATCTCGCCATGGCGACGAGATGTTAAATACCTCGCCTGATATTCAGGAAGTTTTGGGTTCGATCCCGACCCTGATGCCTGTATATTTGGAGTTTGCATGTCTCTCTCCCTGTGGTGGTGTGGATTTTTGTCCGGGTCCTCCAGTTTTTCCCTGCACATTTCGATACATGCGTTTAAGAGTATTTGGCTGCAATAAATTACCACATGGTTGAGCTGTCATTTGTGGCCAGGTCGCTTCTGAAAATTAGCTATATAGCTCAGTGGGCCTTACCTGGTAAAATAAACATAGTTTAGTGTCAAACAAAACTTATGGAAACACACTGAGCCTGCACGTGCTACTCCCTGCGACTGCGATTGAGCTGAATGGACAGTTCTTTCTGTTGGTCGGAAATAAGAGGTACTAAATGTGTTAAAACGTATTTCTTTTTGGTTTGATGCAGTGGCCACACGGTGCAACACGCACAGGTTTTCTTTTGTTGGAAGGGACAGGACAGAACCCATCCAAACTTGTTTTAATTTCCTGTATGTCCAGGTGCAGAAAAACAGACGAACAAGCATATTATTTCTAGGTAGAATAATTGTGGGAAACTTGTAAACCTATAATAAAAAGTGGAAATGTATTTTGCGCCAATGAATTTACAGCATGGAGACACTTAGATGTGTAAGATTCCGTGCCCCTCAAGTGGTGAAACATATAACGTATTGTGTGACACAGTGAAATTGTCATTTCACAACTTGTATCCCACATTTTTGAGCTCTTATAAATGCTCTTTAAAGTCAAAACCATTGCCTCTGTCAAAACAGTAATCTCTACGTACGTTGCGATTGGTACATTCAGACAGCAGCTTGTATAAGCGAAGCACTGACCGTACAACAGGTGTTGGCAATGATGATGCACGAGGAAGTTGTTCCACAAGACAGACGTTCTGCAGCCCATGCTGTGAAGGAGGAATGTGCACTGCGCCGCTTAAAAGCAGATGCAGTCCACAGTAGAGCACTCTTAGCTTTGAATTTTCCCGTAGACAATGCTTTAGAAGCCTACAAATGCTAAACGGAGATAAGACGTACTCTTTGGGTCTTTCGGTAAAGTCACGTAGATCGAATAATAATACAAAATCACGACGTTTCGATCTCGACACAAGCAATCGTCTTCAGGTGAAAAAATACAGCAGGCGAACTGCTGAGACAGGATAAATGTAGCAGGAGAGCTGCTGCAGCAAGAGGTTATATAATTGGTTTGAGATGGGTGCAACTCAAGGGTAAGTGCACGGGGCTAGAGATGGAATTTGCAAGTAAATGTAAGATCGGAGAGCCAGGTATACCTCGGCCATTGTGTTGCTAGAGAGTAGCATGTCAATCTGTAATTTTCATGTAAATGAGATAAGACGGACACGATTTGAGCTTGACGATAGAACTTAACCTTCTGATGCAACTTCCCAAAGACAATCAGAGATAGCTAGGGTGTGAAGAATTTCGAACATTGCTCATTGCTTCACAGCATCACGGTAATTGCGTACAGTAGTAGTTAAGTGTATTTATTGTGTGACGCGCCATGTGCTCTGTACGCTTAGAAATGATTGACATTTGACGCAAAGCATCTATAGTGCAGCACACAGCACATCTAAACGTGCAACACAGGACATGAGTCACGGGAAAAATGGGGATCCCATTGTCCAGTGAAGAGAGCTTCCCTGCTGTGTACATTGTACCAGAGAGTAACCGTTGATATATGCATACTCAAAGTGCCCCGCATTGGTTATGGGACATTTTCCATTCCATCAGAATACATGGAGTAGTAATTTAATAATATGACTTACTCGAGGACAGCCCATCCTATGAATAGGGTGTCTTTTCCCCTTTGGCTTCACCCCTGTACCTTGTCAGCCGTTTTCCCTTGTTGGGCCCTTCCCCCTCTCCTCCTTGGCACTGCCCACTGCTCTCTTGGCCTGACCCTTCCCTCTTCGCCTCCCTCCACTCGGTTCCGAAGATGCCTCCGTTGTAGCTAGCAATAAAATGCAAGTCGCCGGGTTCCTAACTCGGTGCACAAGCCAATGTGCAACGGCTCTACCGGTAGTAGTTGTATCATGAGCTTACAAAGATGTGAGTGTGTATGTTGAACTTCAATGAAAACACATGTTTCAATTAACATTACACAGTATATTGAATGACCTCATTTTAACCTATAAACTTAATGCTTCTTTATTGGGATTACACACAGCAATCATTGTCCGCTACTGGCAGACTAATGTCCGTTTCCAGGCCAGGTGTTGTTACCTGCCAACGGGACAGCTGCCACTAAGGGTCCTTTTTCAAATGTTTAAGATTATATCTGATGTAAAGTCTTATAAGATGCTCCATGGTATTGGGTGCAATATCAAAAACAAAGTAATACGATTATGGTTATAGTTAGGTGTGAGTGTATGTACTATATATTCAACAAAAGGCTCTTGGTGGCTCATGAAAAAACAAAGGGTTTGGAAACTCGCTGCTTGGGCCCTTGCCCCAAACACGAAGACATGAGACGTATTGCAGCATTATAAGAGCAGGAGAGACGGTGCCATGCCAGTGGGGGGATCAGGCCTTCCTCCATAAGTGGATTGGAAAAGCCTGCTGTGAATGATACATTACCTTGCTAATTAATGGCTGCTCGATTAATAATAATGTTATCATAAGTTATATATTTTTCATTAAGTCTGTCCCAAACAGATATTGAACTCTCACCCCTCTGATGTAAAATATTAAACGGAATAGCTTGTCCAGGTACCTGATCAAGACGGAGCAATTTATTGTCAATGATCTCACGTATACAGAATAAACATGTGCATTCTTTAGATTTGATATTTAATTTGTGCCGAATGGAACTCGGTTTGATTAGCACAAGTAAGTCCGAATAAATATTCACTTTTTTTTCGTATTCAATTTTTATTTTGAAGTGAGAGGCATGCAAGTGAGTTAATTGTAAAAAGTTGGAGTGCCTTGCGGCTGCTAAAAATCCACTTAAAGGTAGGCATACATACATATATAATTGTATATACAGTAGACTTAATTATCTGTGTGTGGTTTATCCGATTTGTGGCTTAACCGCGCGCCTCAGATTTTGACATATATTAACAACTCATGGATTTTCCCTTAAGCCCCAATTAATAATCTAAAAACAGATATACATTGTTATCCTTGGAATTGTTTATTGCAAGTCACGTGCCTTACCCGAACATATATATGCTCCAGTTAATCTGAAATCCACGTGATCACCTCTGCAGTACAGTAGTTGCATATCTTTACAACAGTGTGTTGACAGCTCTGCTATCCACTGAGTGGGCGGACTTTTCTGCGCGAGAGCAGGAAAGTGTTATCACCGAGCACCCGCGTCAATCGATTGATTCTTTACTACAAATGTTTATTTCGTTTATTAACAAACTCAATTTTCTTAACTTAAACATAATTTATACCTATATGAGTGTTTTTTGGCAAAGAGGTCCGCGGTATGGATACTTTTGGATTATCTGGGAATTTGAATGATCCGTGGCCGTCCTCCCCAGCTTTAGTACGGATAATCGAGAGTACTGTATATATAACATACATAACCGGTTGGATGTCTAAAATTATATCAGCTGTGATGTGGTCGGGGATGTGGCAGGGAGACTAATCCAAATAAGCGTGACACTTGCATCGCGTAAGGCAGTTGGCAAAACATATCTGTCGGTAGCGTTGGCCCCAAGTGTTGTCTATACAACAACACTCTAAACGCACGTTTCTCTACGTGGAGGGAAAAGCCGAAGGACTCTGAGACAAATCCACGCGACCACAGGGAGAACATGTAGATTCCAAATATGCAGGCGTCATGGAGTCCATGACCTCCTGTATACCAGGCGAGGTAGTAAATATCTCACCACGATGGCGCCCCTTTCAGATGATCGTACATTGGAGAGATAAGACCAACATTCCCTGTAGCTTAGTGGCATGGTCAACATTTCAGAATCAGAATCAGAATCTTTAATTAGGCTGGAAGATTCCGATGAGCTATGAAGCCCCTTTTCACAGATGTCTAGTAGTGCAAAGTATAGGAGGGCTAAGTAATGCCGCAATCTTATTTTAGTTTGTGAATTTGGCATGAGGACGCCATGGGGATTGTGCGAGTGTTTCCCAGTGCCATCGATTTGTTGTGGAGATTTTTTCTGATGCCGAATTGGAAGCCTTGGTGTAAGTGCTTTCGTTATAGAGCACACTTGAGCTACTTTTCCATCTGCTGTATTGCGCTGTGGCAACAGGGAACGGGCTGAGCTGCTCCGCTCTTTGCTTCTTCTTTTTGCCCTCTCCTGAGTCATCCTGTTCATATCCCTTTGCGTGTGGTGGGGTTTCTCCCATGGACGCTGCCGCCGGGTTTTACTAAGCATCAACACTGCCTGCCCCCCCCCCCCACACACTTACCTCTGAATTACGACTGGTTGTAATATCATAAGACCTCTTCTTGGTTCTTTCGGTAAAGTCACGTAGAAGAGAAATAATAAAATAATAAAAATAAAACATAATAAAATAATTCTCACGACGTTTCGGCCACAACGCAAGCAGCCGTCCTCAGGTGAAGACCAGGTCTGTCGGAAAGACAGCTGAGGACGGCTGCTTGCGTTGTGGCCGAAACGTCGTGAGAATAATTTTATTATGTTTTATTTTTATTATTTTATTATTTCGCTTCTACGTGACTTTACCGAAAGAACCAAGAAGATGAATCCCTGCAGTCACGAAAGCTTTAAATCGAAATCATAAGACCTATGGTTAGATTGCGTTTACCTGATGAGATAGATGGCCATAATTCGTTACAACTGTTCTGATGTTTACTTTTGGAAATGTGTAAAAAGCATGTATATGCAAATCATTTGATTTATTACGTGTGTTTGATATTTCTGTGTCATGTCCATCTGTTTAAATTCTGACTGGTGTATCATTGCCGCTCCAATTTTGTCAATGTGTATATTTGAAGACATTTACTGGCATTTGTCAGTAAAATCAGGAAGAAAAACAATCCCTTAATACAGAAATACCTTCTCCATCCCAGGAATTATAGCAAGCTACTATCGTGGCTTAAAAGCTTTTGTGACTGCAGGACTTCATATTCTTTTGGTCTTTCGGTAAAGTCACGTGGATAGGTCCAAATTTATTGTTTATTTTATTTGTATTAATTTGAACCTATCTACGGGACTTTACCGAGAGACCCAAAGAATAAGCTACCATCGTATTTGAAAAAATAATAATTAGAAACGTGTTGTAATACATTAGCATGATTAAACACAGAATCATAATAGTGCCCTGGCTTATAAACACATAACTCGCAGAGACAGTGATTCTGTGCAGCTTTTGCCTTGCTGCAAAAAAACAACGCCGCCACAGAGCAGGCCTAAGATTAGGCATTAATTCTGTGCTTGTTTTTCTGGCTCCCCATTGTCATAACCAAAACAAGAGACATCTCACCGAACATGCCAATGTTGGCTGCAGTTTATTACGACACGTATATACGTTCTCGTGCCTTATCTTGGCGTCGCGTTGATTGTTTGCGTCTGCTCCTTGTGTGTGCGTTTTTTTCGGCAGCACATTGCTCGTGGTGACGTCTGAACTCTTTGTCGGCCTCTGGCTCTGCAAGTCGTGGGGGTCCTGATTGCGAGTCCAGCCTGAGAAAGTCTTTCCACCAAAGGTACGAATTGGAATATTTGAGAGACGACAGAATGCTGCGTGACGATAACCAGTAAAAGTGAGTTGTGCTAATGGGCACGAAAAAGATTTCTTTTAAGGTCCGAGGCATGTGAATTATGCACCCAGTGCGCAGAACTATATACAAACTTTAGACCAGCGCCATTTGTTTGTATTTGTACATGGAAAACAGGTAATTTAAGTTACTTTTTATTGTCATAGGAAAAGAAGAGCTTAACATTCTGGCCAACTGGCCGTCCTTTAGGAATTATTGAAGTTTACAGAGAGCTGTAAATATCCTGTGTGGTTTGGTGCCGTTAATACTGCGGTATGTACGTATGCTGAACTTCTTGTAATGTATTCGTTCAGCAACCGGACGCCAATGCAGCTCGGCGACGGACATGATTAAATCTTGTAGTACCAATCACGACACTTGCCAAAGGATTTTCTACATGCTGCAGCTTGCTGATGTTTTTGCCAGACTTCCCGTAGAGTGGTGAATTGCAATAATCTGGACTTTTCAATACTATGCTACACACCAGTGTGTTGTTGGATATGTCACAACTCAATCGTGTCAAATGTGTTGGAGAGCCCTGATATTAAAATTGTAGAACCTGACTATAGTTTGCACGTGGTGATCAAACGATATTCTGGTTCAGCATGTTGCTGAGACTCTATGCATGAGTAGAAAACTGAATCCTGGAGTCTGCGAATGCCAAGCAGAGAACCTGGATTAAACGCTAATTGTAAGCAGAGGGTTGGTGGCGAGTGCCCATCTTAAGACATCGCTTGGAATATCTGTGCATTCACATTCGTGGGGATACGTTTTTTGACCTCCCGTGTATAAAGCAAACGGCCAACAAAGTGTACATTATGACGTGCACATCCGTAGACCACGTTTAAATCAAACTTCTTCGGTTATGTTTGTAAAAAAATATAACCCGTAAAAACAAAGTTTTTCACTATAAATCCTTTATATACGTGGCGGCTAGAGTCCTCTCGTCCTCTGGCTTGAGATGGCTGCCACCTGTGGGTCAGATAATTGCATTGCACCATTAAGCAATTGGTAATTAAATATAATATTTTTGTCCTAAAAAGTGTAAAATTTGGGAAAAAAAATTTTCACGAACATTAGTTGTCACGCACAACGAGTCTGTGTGGAAAATGTCAGCTCGATTGGATCACGGGAAGTGGGTTAAAAAACGACCGAAAGATTTGCACGGTCGTAAGCAAGCAAGCGAACTTAATATAAAGGATTTAAAAACACCGACTGTTCAATGATTAACTGGCAGAGCACCATGCTCGCAATTGGAAGTTTGCGAGTTAAAATCCTGAGTGGCGGTTGACTCTCAACTCATCATTCCTCGGGGGGTCGATACAATTTTACCATTTTCTGGGGAAGTTAACAGTGATTTTTCCAGTGGGATAGACTCACACTTGCCGTAGGAATGTGGATGTGACATGTGCTGCGAAAGCCCCATTATGGAATTGAATGTAAACACAGGAGACCCTTGAATATCGCGGGGGTTACGTTCTTTAAAAGTTCCGCAAAATTCTAAACCGCGATATTCAATACTTAAACTGTACCTAATTAAGGGGGTTAGGTACACTGCAACCAAAAATAGACACATCACAATTTAAATAAGTTCTGTACTGTACTCCAAATTAACTAAAAACACGATCATTGAAATATACATGTAAAAAGCCTATGCAAAAACATTCCGAGACAAACAGTCATTTAAATACTGAATAAAAACTGTACTTACCGATGAAGATGATAATGATCCAAAGCAGGTTTGTGTGTTTGTCCGCGAGTGTGGGAGCGGTAGTGCAACGGTTAGCATGCTGCGCTACGAACCCGGCGACCGGAGTTCTCTTCCCGTTCATACCTAACACCAGTGACGATTGTCTGAATCGGTCCTGGGCCTCCCCTCGGTCGACTCGGTCTCAGATGAGTTCCCGGTGCGATGTGTAAACATCGCCCCCTGGGGAGATAAAGGCAGCCGGGCGTGGTGCTGGCCACCCACCCCCTCATGTGACGTGCCTGGCATTCATAGATGCTTGTGAATAGCACTTGCCCCAACACTGTGTTAAGTCTATAAGTGGGGATCTTTGTCCATGAGTTGCTTGGAAGGAGCGATGGTGTAGCGGTTAGCACACCGCGCTACGAACCCGGCGACCTGAGTTCGATTTTGTTCGTGCGGTAATTGTCTTGCACAACGTGATAGCTGCCAAAACAAATCAAATGTCCACTTTTAATACACCGCACGGTATTCGCCGGCTCTGAAAGAGACCGAACAACTTGGAGGCGTGAAGAATCGCAGACAAGGGGAAAGGCAGCAGCCAGGCGGTAAGCCGGTGCCAAGAATCAGTCAAGCTCTGTAGTCGCCTACATATTGAGATGTTTTCAACCAATAAATGAGTGAATATTTTTGGGAGGAAACCGCAGCACCTGGAGAAAACCCACACATCCGAGGGGGAAACACTGCACCCCATACAGACAGAACAAGTGGAGTCCACATTCTTGCTGCCTTTGTCTCTCGTGATCTTATTTAGGTGCACATCAGATAACGTCTGGATAAAGCAAATAATTGTTACGTGGATTGATGTAAGTGGCAGTGAATGGTTTTGTTTCCAACGTGGAAAAAATATTTCTCTGCTACGCAACTTGATCGAATCCATTTTGGAGGGTGCAGACGGACGAAAGTTGACGCTGCGATGTTGAGAAACATTCAGAAAAGTTAAAGTTACGCTGGGGAACGAGTGAAAGTGGTGATCCATTTCCATGATGAGATGACCCTTTATGATACAACACACATGCTGCAGGCATTGAAACTACACTGAGCACTTTGCAGTTTTTGGGCAGGAATGTATATCAACATTATGTAAAACTTTATTTCCCCGTTCTCTTTATATTTGTTTTGGATGGGCACGAGTTTTCTAATTGAGCTGCAAATTAATCGACCGTTAATGCAGGATTTAGGCACACCGATGATGCCTGGATCTTCGGACGGAAAGCATCGTGGTCCAGTCGTTTCCAGTCTGTATGATAATGTTGTGACGAGTGGGCAAATAAATACAATCGACAATGCCACTTTGCACATCACGAGACTGATCTGAAATACCTACGTCGTCGATAACAACATCGGTCATCTGCTGCTGCCGCCCAGAGACTTGAGGTCGTGATGTGTTGGTATCTATACAAGAAATAGTAAAACAAATACCAACCACCAATGTAAAGTATCATTGCTGCTGCTGCCGTCGGCATTTGCAATGGTTTTGTAGAATGTGTTGTGCTTCTGACATCTTAATGGTCCAATTGTATAACAATGCAAAATGTTAACTAATGTAAGGGATTCATATTCTCGGTTCGTTCGGTAAAGTCACGTGGAAGGGAAATAATAATATTATTTCCCTTCCACGTGACTTTACCGAATAATATTATTTACCGAACGAACCAAGAATATGAATCCCTGCAGTCACGAAATCTTTAAATCTAAATTTAATGTAAGCAACTTAAGTTTAGTTGTTCACAGTGGTGAGGGCTACTAACTTACTGCCCCGTCAGTTTGTTTCCCAGCCACAGCTGACTTTAGTGTTGAGTGACATCTGAACCGGATGTGAATGCTCCTCCTCACCAATCCGCACTCACCAACCTGGTGAAGTATGGTCAAACGAGCCACATGACTGACACAGCATATGAGAACCTCTTCATCCAGCAGTGGATTGAAAAAGGGCTGCACAAATATTGCGCTCGTAGCAACTGCGTAGTTTTTTGTAAAAAAAATGTTTTACCTATCTACGAATCTTGTGCAGCATCTTGTGCAGCGCGTCACGAACACAAGTGAGAGGCGCATGTCTCTTCTCAGATTGGATATAATTACATTGTCCTTTTTACTGCTTAGTTGGTCGACGATTTATGCTGTCTACCGACAGGCCTTTCTCTTTCCTGCCGTGGCTTTCGTGACTCGTAATGCCTTTGAGCCTCTGTTCCCTGGGTCTGGTGCACTCTGTGTTGGCAGTTTTGTTGACTCTTGTAATGGCGAAGTTTATTGAGTGGCTCATTCTCCACTTTATTGTGAATGCAAGATGAGTATCAAGGATGAGTATGCAGGTCACAAAAGTTTGGTTTGTCTGCTCATGTTTGTTTTTACGTAATTTTAAGGAGAACAGACCTTTATTATAGGGCCTTGTATAGAAGAAAGGTAAATTTTAATTAGCTAAAGTCGAGTTTTAAGGGAATGTAAACAAACCATCGAGATGAAAGCACGATTAATTAAGGACAGTAACCGCTCTGCCAAACTTCTGTAAGCCACACAACTTTTAAGGCCAAACCTGCTATTGTTTTAATTTTCCTTTTCCCATCACATAATTAACTTTGTTAATTTTCAATGTGAAAGAAATGAAAACATTTGATATTTTTTGCCAATAAAAATATAACAAAGTATGCTTGGAAACACTATTTCATTGCACGGACCTCATCCAATACCACAGGAGAAAAACAGATGGAGATAATGATCAATATGAAAAAATGTATTAAGTCGAGGCTCCTTGACACCAAACTATTGAAAAGATGAAGGAAAAGAATCACAGGAAGACCAAATAAAATATATCAAGTAATGATAATATTATGCAATCGTCATTCATGTAAATTGCATCTCAAAACATGGAACTTTGCGAATGACTTCTTCCTTCCTCCTAGCGTTGTTCCCGCTGTGGCGCAGGGTCCGCTTTTCGGCATTGTCTTCTCCATTTGGCTCGGTCCAGGGCATCTTCAGGGGATGCGTTGACCGTCTTCATGTCTTCCTTTATTCGGTCCATCCATCGCTTCTTCGGACGTCCGCGTGGACGGCGGCCCTCTGGCTCAATACGCACGGCAGTCTTGGCCACTGATGACTCCTCACTTCGCATCACATGGCCGTACCACCGAAGCCTTGCCTCAAGCATCTTGTCCGCAATGGGGGCCACACCAAGTCGCTTCCGAACGTCTTCGTTCCTGACACG